TGGGAGCTGTAGGGACAATTGTAGGCATGGGTACACTTAATGGTTGGAAATAGGGAGATGGAAATCCAGGAGAGGGCTCGTGAGCTCAGGCTTGCAGGGTAGGGTCCTTACATAAAGTCGTCCCTCCTTGGGACATTCCTGGGTAATCCACCCAACATTTCTTCCCACCCAGGGTTGGGCTCCCAGAAGCCATCTTCTGCAACAAGGCCTTGACCCCTGCCCACAGCTCACTGGTCCAAGAATGTACCACTGCTCTAAGCTGGGCCTAGTGGTGACCTTCCCTGGGAATCTGGGGAAGAACTTAAGAAATATAGGTTGTAGTCCGGGCTCTTTGAGCAAACGAATGTGAAAACGTAGGGGTAGGGGTGCTGGCATCTTATATAGGTGCCAGTTCCAGTACCAGCTGCTCCACTTCTAATCCAGCTCACTGCTGTGGCCTGGGAAAGCAGTAGAAGATGGCCCAAGTGCTTAAGTCCCTGCAGCCACATGGGAGACCCTGAAGAAGCTCCTATCTCCTGGCTTTGTATCAGCCCAGCTCTGGCCATTTTGGCCATTTAGGGAGTAAACCAGTAGATGGAAAATATCTCTCTCCCTGTCTCTCCCTCTCTCTGTCTGTAACTCTGCCTCTTAAATAAATAAACCTTTTAAAAAGAAGAAGAAAACTTAAGGGTAGCAGATAATGAAATAGACACAAGGATGTTAGAGAAAAGATATGGAAAGAAAGTCCGTCCCTGGGGCTTGTTCTAGAGAAGCAATTTCTCTAGTTGCTAGAGAGTTCATCTCAAACCACAAATTTGGATGGGCGCAGTGGAGGGCCGCCACCTTTCCCTTCAGCACTCGGCTGGTTGCACCTTTCACTTGACTCCTTCTAGGCTTTTTCTTGGGCAACATCAAGGCTGCTAACAGCTCTGTTTACCTGTGGAGCTATAATGAAGTCTTCCGTGCTTTGTGCTTTGTTGATTCTAAGAGATGAAACTCAATGAGCTGTGTTTACCTTACACATTGTGACTATATAAATATCTTTCATTGAGAGCTGGTAACTACTAAGATGACACTTCCTTTCTTGAACTATTTTTAATTATCTTTCGGTAAACAATATTTGAGACATCGACAGGATTATATAAAATGTATGTTATAAATGATTTCACTGAATACCTGTGCACTTATCAACCAACCCAGGAACTAGACTGTTATTTATTTATTTATTTTTGACAGGCAGAGTGGACAGTGAGAGAGAGACAGAGAGAAAGGTCTTCCTTCCATTGGTTCACCCCCCAAATGGCCGCCACAGCCGGCGCACTGCGCCGATTCAATGCCAGGAGCCAGGTGCTTCTCCTGGTCTCCCATGTGGGTGCAGGGCCCAAGCACTTGGGCCATCCTCCACTGCACTCCCTGGCCACAGCAGAGAGCTGGCCTGGAAGAGGGGCAACCGGGACAGAATCCGGTGCCCCGACTGGGACTAGAACCCTGTGTGCCGGCGCCGCAAGGCAGAGGATTAGCCTAGTGAGCCGCGGCACCGGCCTAGACTGTTATTAATACAAAGGTACTTCCAAAAGTTTCAGCAAAATGGAGTGAATTGATAAGTGTACTTTGTTGTAAAAATTTTTGAAATCCATGCATATGAGGAGGTTTTTAAAAAGTTTATGGGGGGCAGTGCTGTGGTGTAGCAGGCAAAACCTCTGCCTGCTGTGTCGACATCACATATGGGCGCAGATTTGAGTCCTGCCTATTCCACTTCTGATCCAGCTCTTTGCTATGGCCTGGGAAAGCAGTGGAAGATGGCCCAAGTCTCTGGGCCCCTGCACCCATTTGGGAGACCTGGAAGAAGCTCCTGGCTCCTGGCTTTGGATCAGCGCAGCTCCAGCCTTGTCGTCACCTGAGAAGAGAACCAGCGGATGGAAGACCTCTCTGTCTCTCTCTGCCTCTGCCTCTTCCTCTCTGTAACTCTGCCTTTCAAGTTAATAAATACATCTTAAAAACAAAAAAGTTTATGGGGAAAAGTGCATTATGAAAAAACTATGGTTGGGAACAGTGTTGTGGCGAAGCAGGTTAAGCAGCCACCTGCATTGCCAGCAGGTTATATGAATCTTAGTTCAAGCTCTAGCTGCTCCCCTTCTGATCCAGCTCCCTGCTAATGTGCCTGGGAAGGCAGCAGGTGATGGCCTGAGTGCTTGGGCCCTTGCCACCCATGTGGGAGACCTGGATGGAGTTCCAGTTTCCCGGCTTCAGCCTGGCCCAGCCCCAGCTGTTGTGGCCATTTTGGGAGTGAACCAGCAGATGGAGGATGTCTCAGTCTCTTCTTCTTTCTCTGTAACTCTGCCTTTCAAACAAATAAATCTTAAAAAACAAAAACAAGTATGTGTGGATATCTTTTACTTGCATTTTCCACGAACTTTTTAAAGTGTGCTATAGCCTGTTTTACCTTTTTTCCTAATTTTTTTTTTTGACAGGCAGAGTGGACAGTGAGAGAGAGAGACAGAGAGAAAGGTCTTCCTTTGCCGTTGGTTCACCCTCCAATGGCCGCCGTGGCCGGCACGCTGCGGGCCGGCGCACCGCGGCTGCGCACCGCGCTGATCCGATGGCAGGAGCCAGGAGCCAGGTGCTTTTCCTGGTCTCCCATGGGGTACAGGGCCCAAGCACCTGGGCCATCCTCCACTGCACTCCCTGGCCACAGCAGAGGGCTGGCCTGGAAGAGGGGCAACCAGGACAGAATCCGGCGCCCCGACTGGGACTAGAACCCGGTGTGCCGGCGCCGCTAGGCGGAGGATTAGCCTAGTGAGCCGCGGCGCCGGCCAATATAGCCTGTTTTACCAATGTCACCTTCCCTGTCCCATTTCTCTGTCTCCCCTGAGAAATAACCAACATGAAATATTTTTGGGTTTATTATTCTACAGACAGACGGGTGGATCTCCCATCTGCTAAGTTGATTCCCTAACTGTCCACAGCAGCTGGGGTTGGGCCAGGCTGAAGGCAGGAGCCAGGATCTCCATCCAGGTCTCCCACATGGGTGGCAGGGGACCCAAGTACTTGAGTCATCACCTGCTGCCTCCCAAGGCACATATTAGCAGGAAGCTGGAATGGGAATCCAGGCAATCCAGTGCGGGGTATGGGCAGCCTAAGCAGCTTCTGAATTGTTGCACTCAATGCCTATTCCGCCACTGCTTTTTTAAGAAAATACCCTGCCACCATAGATATGTGTGCCTATTCCGTGCTCTGACCAGTTGTGCTTGGTGATGCGCTCTCTGCAAATGATGTCATATTTATAGTGTCATCTTCCGGGAGCTGCATTTCTCAGGAAACGTTACATTTCCAAGATTCTTCCATGTTTGGTGTGTTGCTGTGGGAACCGCAGGATATTATTAGAAACTCCAGGAGCAGCTAGAAAAGGATTCAAGGAAGGAAATGCAAGCCGGCGGTTACTGACTCGCCTCGAGTGACATTGTCAACAGGACCGGCATTCCGTCTTTTTTTTTTTTTTTTTTTTGAAGATTTATTTATTTATTCGAAAGGCAGAGTTACAGAGAGGCAGAGGCAGAGAGAGAGAGAGGTCTTCCATCTGCTGGTTTACTCCCCAGAGTTGCACTGAACAGAAGCCAGGAGCCAGGAGCCAGGAGCCAGGAGCTTCTTCCGGGTCTCCCACGCAGGTGCAGGGGCCCAAGCACTTGGACCATCTTCTACTGCTTTCCCAGGCCACAGTAGAGAGCTGGATTGGAAGTGGAGCAGCCGGCACTTGAACCGATGTCCATATGGAATGCTGGCACTGCAGGTGGCGGCTTTACCTGCGGGGACCCCCTGTCCTTCCTCTTTCATTATGTTCCCTCCACCTTCTCCTCCCAACTTCAGAGTTCAGGCTCCTGATCTGGTGCCCCAGCTATGGCTGATGGTTTTAAGGGTGGCACTGGCACTTGGCAGGCCAGAGAACGAGTGAGCTTGGGTCCGAGAGCTCTCTGTTCTGGGGGTGGCAGGTGTAAGATGCCCCGCAGCGGGGTGAGGGCCACATTTCCCACTGTGTAGGTCAGTGAGGAGGAGGAGCTCCCCTGGGAGGGGCGGAGAGCAGTACCCTGATTCCGAATCCAACCACGCCTGAAGTTCAGCTGTGCGTGGGACCCCGAGATTCAGGCTGAACTCTTCCTTCTGCTTAAACTTGAGTTTGTCCCATCATTTGAAGCCACTAATAGCCACTGTCAGAAATTGTCCTGTATGTTTGAGCTCCTTTTTTTTTTTTGTTGTTAATGAAAAGCCACAAAACCATTAAAATGATAACGTACCAATAACCGCCACATACCACGACTACCATGAACCAACGAGTGCTTTTTGTTCATTGTCTCATTTAACACTCACACCAAGTCTGAGTCCCTATGCTACAGATGAGTCTATGGAGGCATCAAGAAGTTGTTAAGAGGAAGACGCAGTGGTCCTGCCTCCGCCCACCCGTGGGACACCAGGGCCTTAACCACGTCCCTGCTGTGTCTGCAGAGGCCCCCGGCTGGGATGCAATTCAGATTCACAGCCCTAACTTGAAAGACTTTCTGCTCTCAGGTGCTGACATCTAGAATCCTCCTCTATGACTCCTGTAACTTAAAAGGGAGGATAGAATAACCTCTCCTCATCTTCCCTCTTCTGGGCCTGGGGGGAAAAAAAAAAAAAGGCAACAAGAAGAGGGCAGGGCTAGGTGGTGGCCACCAGCAGTGAGTAGAAGTGGTCAAGGTCAAGGGTTTGGGAAAGTAGAGCAAAGGTCAGTGACAGAGGGAGGGGGCTGGGGCTGTGCTTCGGCTCCCTCCCCTGCTTGGTCAGTGAACAGCTGAGTGTTAGGGTTAGGGCACAGGAAGAGAAATGGGGAGTGGGGGGGGGGGGACTCTTACAGACCATTGCTGTTGGGCAAAGAGAGGCGGCAGCTGGCAGAGAGACATCAGATCCACAGTTCTGAGCTGGGGCCCGAGGAACAGGGTTTGCAGACAGAGCTGGAGCTGAAGCCAGGGGCCCCCTCCCCCATCTCACGGCTCCCCAGGAAATGTTCCATGGCAGTTAAGGGCCTTGCCCTGATGGATGGGGTGGGGGCCTTCTTATGGATCAGGAACTCAGGGGCCTGATAAGAGGCCCTCCATTCTTTCCGGGGCCCTGGGCCCTGTGGTGGCAACTTGTCTGTCTGATGAAAGTGTTCAGAAGATGGACCAACCCCGCATGGCGAGGGAAGGAGAAACTGGGGCGCAAGGGGAGAGATGGAGGGCTCCAGACAGGGTCAGGGCACTCTGGAGGTCAGAAGAAAGAGACCAGCATCCGGGACTCGGAAGGGCAGAGAGGACTGGGAATCAGGATGTGATGGTGGTGAGCATGAGACAAAACGCAGGGGTCCAGATGGAGACCCCGTTGACCAGATATAACAGTCAGATCCGCCGGAACTCTCGGCTGCCCTTTCAGTGGCGAATCACACACAGCTCCCGCTGGATGGCACAGGTGCTGGCCTCGGAGCTCAGCCTCATAGCCTTCCTCCTGCTGCTGGCCATGGTCTTCTCCAGGAGGTGGCTACACCCCTCCGGGAGCCGCTTCCATCAGCGCTGGCCGGCGAACGTCAGCAAACGAATCCACACTTCAATCCATGTCATGTCCAGGGGGCTCCTGCAGGCTTGCAAGCCCTGGAGCTGTTCCAGCTCAGAACACGAGAAAGGTGAGTCCCTCCAGCCCACCCTGGACTGCCTCGGACTGGCCGCCCGCCTGCCTTGGCCTGGAAGGCTGCACCTACCCCAGTGTTCTTGTCCCCTCCCTCTTCGCAACGCTCTGGCCTGCAGGACCAACGCTCAATGATCCAAGGATCGTTTTTCCTCCTCTAAGTCTGGCCAGATCTATTTGCCTGACCCAGCTGAAAAGATCACTACTCTGAACACCTAAGGCCCCGTCTGGGGCGTTGCGAGGGACATAGGCTCTTAGCACACGTGAAGTAGTCGCCCGTGGAGGTGGAGGGTTTCCTCCCTCTAGGCTTGCATAGGCAGGGCTTGGAGAGGAGTCCCTGGAATATTCTCTGGCCCCTTCCTCCTGCCTCAGCCCAGCCCCTGCTTCTTTGGGCCAGCTTTGGGCACCGAGAACTTTCCTTTTTTCCCTCTCTGGCTTCCTTTCTGTTCCTTCCTTCTCTGTCTTCTGGGTCTTGTGTCATGCCAGCCCCTTTCACCTCCCTCCCAGGAATTGGGCCTGCTTTCTCAGCTCTTGGGGCAAACCAGTTTTGGGCTCCTGTTTCCAATTTTTCACTCTCCTTAACATAAAATAGAAGTTACATAGCTATTGTTTTTCCATTATGGAAGTAATAAATCTTTCGTACAATGCATTTGGTGTAGCAAAAGCCATCCTTTATTGCACACTTAACTCTATGTGTTCAGTTTGATCCTCAGTCAACCCCAAGAGATGGAGATAGTGATCTCTGTTTTAGAGATGAGAAGATTGGGCTTGGCGAGATTGATTAGTACCTCGTTCAGGATCAGCAGGTGACTAGGTTGAACCAGTGAAATGCCAATATTTGACTGCTCTTCCCACACAAAAGGAGCGATATTTTTAAAATATCTATTCATTTATTTGAAAAGCAGAGTTTACCAGGGGGAGAGAGGGATCTTCCATTCTCTGATGAACCGGTTTCCTCCCCAGATGGCTGCAATGACTAGGGTTTGAGCAGGCAGAAGCCAGGAGCCCGGAACTCCATTCTGGTCTCCCACATGGGTGGCAGGGGCCCAAATCCTCAGGCCATCATCTGTTGCTTTCCCAGGTGCATTGGAGTAGGGGGCTCCAATATGGGATATTGGCATTCCAAGCAGGGCTTAACCGGCTATGCCACAACACTGGTCCCAACACCTTCTTTCTCTAAATATTCTGCTAACCTAGCTGTTACCAATTTTATTTTGATCTTTGCTAGTTTGATGGTTTAAAAAAAACACCACATTTAATTTGCAATTCTTTGTGTTAAGCTTCATGTTTTTGGACATTTGTGTTTCTTTTTATGAGAATTGCTGCTCAAGTCCTCTGTCCCTACTTTTTTTATTGAAGTATTCATTTTCACATGGTTGGGATTATCAAATAATCTCCATATCCAGCATCTTGGCTTATGTAATAAGGGAACTCAGTATTTCACTGTTATCTCAGATGTGGCTTTCTTCGGTTACAAAGGTACTTCAAAAAGTTCATGGAAAATAGAGTTAAAAGTATGAGTTTGGGGGCTGGTGTTATGGTGTAGAAGGTTAAACCTCAAGTCCCAGCTGTTTCACTTCTGATCCAACCCCCTGCTAATGCACCTGGGAAAGCAATAGAAGATGGCCCAAGTGCTTGGACCCCTGCACCCACGTGGGAGACGTGGAAGAAGCTCCTGGATCCTGGCTTTGCATTGGCACAACTCCGACCATTGCAGCCATTTGGGGAATGAACCAGTGAATGGAATATTTCTCTCTCTCTCTCTCTCTGCCTCTAGCTCTCTTTCTTGGTAACTCTGATTTACAAATAAACAAATAAATCTTAAAAATAAAAGTATGAGTTTTAGTGCAAAAAAAACCACCTCATGAATTTCATGTATATCTTTTTCATAGTACACATTTTACCTAGTATTATGAAAATAATTTTTTCATCCAAAATAAACTCATACTTGAAATTTCACGTTTACACAAAGTCTCTGAAGTGCCCTCATGTTAAATGGGCCTGAAGATGTTCTCTGATCTGCTCACCCGGTTTCTGGTTTGTCTTCTGTGACTCCTTAGTTCATCCCTTTTGTCATTTTCTCCAGACAGTTCCAAGCTGTGGACAAACCAGCCGCCCTTTGTGGTGGCCAGGATCATCTTCACCCTGGCCGTGGGGGTGGGCTTCGTCCTCACCATCTGGTTGCACCTGCCCTACCTGCCCCGTTTTCAGAGAGTACCCGCCTTTGGCTTGATTGGGATCATCTTGAGCGTCAGTGAAGGTGCCCGCCAGCTCTGAAAAAGGTCCTTAGTCCAACCCAGGTCTTCCTGGGCACTTCCCCCTCTTCTCTGGGGGTGGCGTGGGCGGGGGTGTGTGGGCAGCGCCAGAACAGATCTGAGAGTTGAGTGCCATCATTCCCGGCCCCTGGGGAGTGGGGGTGGAGGGGGCGGTTCCCGTGAGCCTCTGGGGCCGTGGACTCGGAGCTGTGGTTGGCGGCTGTAGCTGAGCAGACGGGGAAAAGAGTCCCGCGTGGGATTCCTGGATGAGAATGAGACCTCTTCCGCTTCCTGTCTCCAGTCACCTTCATTTTCTCCATCCTCATGTTGTTCCCTGTCAACCTCTGGCTCTTGGAGTTGAGGAAGAATTTCTCCGTCCCCATCGGCTGGAGCTATTTCCTTGGTTGGCTGGTGTTTGTCCTGTACATCGTCTGTGGTGAGTGGCCAGGGGCGATCCTGGGGGAAGGATGGGACGTGGTGGGTCAGGGCAGAGCAGGTGTCGGGGGAAGGGCTGGCGATCCCCTAGGGTGGGTTCTTGGGGGACTTTCTTCCCTCTGGCCTCACCCAGCTTGTCACTCTCCCTCCCGCTCCCGGCTTTCCCCTTCCCTGCCCCCTGTCCTTTCCCAGCGGTCCTTTGTTACTTCAACCATAAGAGTTTCTGGAGACTGATTCTGACCCACTCTTCTGCCACCGTGTCCTGCTGCAGCAGCTCCAGCTCAGAGGAATCTCTGAGCCAGTCGAACATCTCCAACACCGCTAGCAACCACGAGGAATTCCTGAATTCCCAGTAAAGGGATACACGGCTGCCATCAAGCTCCGCCCATTCACCTGCCTCCCTCTTCTCCTCCCCGCCCCCAGGGCACTGGGGAGATCGGCCGCCATCTTTGGAGGGAGTGAGAAGGGGTGGCCTGGGGCCAGCCTTGCACTTAGCTTGGGTGCTGTGGAATAAATTGTTCGTCTCTTCTTTATCATGTCCGGCCCTGGTTGAGGTAAACTGGAGGAGCAGGAGCGGAAAGGAGAAAGAGCGAGTTTGTTCCCCCATTCTTCCTGCCTAGGAGCCTGTGGCACGCCTTGGCCCCCCAACGTGCCCACTGTGCACCACAGCAGATCTGCACACAGGCAGGCCCACTCTTGAGAGCTAAGCCTCTTGCTTCTTCATCACCCCCTGCCCCGCCTCCCTAATGTTTGCTGGTTGGGGGTAGCAGGATGTATGGCTGATATGGAGAGAGATCACTTAAGAACGTGTTGGCGTGTGCATAGCCAAAGGTTCAAAAGCAAAATGGCCCCAGGGGAAGAGGCAGGCTGCAGTGCGAGAGTACAATAGGGGGACTGGCTGTACTGCACAGGTTTCAGCCCAGGTGTGTGTCCTGGGTACCAATCCCACCATCTGTGTCCAGCTCACAGAGCCTGGGCCTTGGCCACTGTCTCCACCACCATCCAGCACCCTATCATCCACCCTCCCCCAGGCTGCTAACGCTCTCTGTTCAAGCCTCCCCTACCACCCACACTGGGATTCAGGGATAAAACACAAGAAAGGAAAGCGGCAGGGTTAGGTATAAAGGCTAGAATAAGGGCAGTTCCACAGAGCATGCAGCAGCTGCCCAGGCGGTGCTGGTGATGGTGGGACGTGGGCACAGGAGAGCACCCGTGACCTATCTTTGTTATGCGTGTCCGCTCAGGTGGCACCGTTCATACTAGCACCTACCAGAGTGCAGGAACAAATTACGAGTGTATTAAATATGCTTAAAATAAACACATTAGGCTGAACCATATTTCATAAGTTGAACTGCATTCATAGGGTTCAACCTCATATATATAACTTTCTTTCTTGAATTTACTATTTATTTGAAAGGCAGAGTTACACACACACACACACATACAGAGTATCTTCCCTCCATAGATTCACTCTCCAAATGGCCATGACAACATGACAACTGGGGCTGGACCAGGCTGAAGCCAGGAGCCTGGAACTCCAGTTAGGTTTCCCACAGGGTACAGGGGCCCAAGCATTTGAGCCATCATCCATTGCCTTCCCAGGTACATTGGCAGGAAGCTAGATCAGAAGTGGAGCAGTGGAACTCAAGCCAGCACCCACATGGGATGGCAGCATTGCAGGCAGCTGGCCCCTGACTGACTTCTATTTGATTTGAACCCCTTTAAGATTCTTATTCTTGGGGCTGGCACTGTGGCACCAGCATCCCATATGTGCACCAGTTCGAGTCCTGGATGCTCTATTTCTAATCCAGCTCTCTGCTATGGCCTGGGAAAGCAGTAGAGGATGGTCCAAGTCCTTGGGCCCCTGCAGCCATGTGGGAGACCCAGAAGAAGTTCCTGGCTCTGGACTGGCCCAGCTCTGGCTCTTGCGGCCATTTGGGGAATGAACCAGCAGATGGAGGATCTCGCTATCTTTCCCTCACTCTTTAACTCTGTTTTTAAAATAATTTTTTTTAAGATTCTTATTCTTACCACAGCTGATCAGCAGTTGTGGAATTCCTAACCTGGCTCCAAGAAAATATTCTTTTTTAAGGTTTATTTATTTGAGAGGCAGAGGCAAAGAGAGAGAGAGAGAGAGAGGTATTCCATCCGCTGATTCACTCTCCAAATGGCCATAATGGCTGGAGCTGGGCTGATCTGAAGCCAGGAGCCAGGAGCTTCCTCCGAGTCTCCTGTGGGGTGAGGGGCCAGGCCATGGCAGAGAGCTGGATCAGAGGTGGAGCAGCCAGGACTCAAACCAGTGCCCATATGGGATGCTGGCACTGCAGGTGGCAGCTTTACCTGCTATGCCACAGCAGCGGTCCCCCTCCCCCAAGCAAATATTCTAAACAAAGAACCCAATATCCAGGTTGAAAATTAGGCTGAACAGGGGTGGGCATTGTGGTGTAGCTGGTTAAGCTGCTGCTTCGGAAGTCCGCATCCTACACGGGAGTGCCAGTCCAGCTGCCTTACTTCCCATCCAGCTTCCTGGGAGGCAGTAGAGGATGGCCCAAGTCCTTGGGTCCCTGTCACTCACATGGGAGACTCAGATACAGTTCCCTGTTCCTGTCTTTGGCTTGGCCCAGCCCTGGCTATTACAGCCATTTGGGGAGTGAACCAGCTAATAGAAGCACACACACACTCTCTCTCTCCCTGCCTTTCAAATAAAATAAATACATAAATATAGAAGCTCAAAGTTCCAAATCTTGCAATCTGTTATGAGTTGAACTGTGTACTTTCTCGAGGCCAAATACGTATGTGATACAAGGAACGCATCATACAGAGGAAAGACCATGAGAAGACACAGAGAAGGTGACCGTCTGCAAGCCCAGGAGAGCAGAGCAGCCTCAGAAAAAAACCCTCTCTACATTTGACCTTGGACTTCCAGCCTCCAGAACTGAAAGTAAATCCTAATGATTGAGTCCCACGGTCTGCAGTCCTTTGTTGTATGAGACAGAGCCAACCCAATACACCCTGTAAGTTAGGGCCAAATGCGGATGAGGCTCTTTGGGTGTGAGTTCCTCTCAGTCTGAAGATGTGTGAAGCAAAGGGCAAGTTACCTTCCCCTCACATGCCCAGGACACCATTGTTAAGACAGTCAGTGGAGAACCATGATAGATATTACTGTTGGTCCGCTTCCAATCCAGCTCTGTCCTGGCTGCTTCAGCTGTTTGAGGAGTGAACCAGAGGATGGAAGATCTCTCTCTTTCTCCATGTCTCCCTTCTCTCTCTTTCTATCTAACTCTGTCTTTCAATAAGTAACTTTTAAAAAAGATTTTTTTTTTTTTTGACAGGCAGAGTGGACAGTGAGAGAGAGAGACAGAGAGAAAAAGGTCTTCCTTTGCCGTTGGTTCACACTCCAATGGCCGCCACGGCTGGCGTGCTGCGGCCGGCGCACCACGCTGATCCGAAGGCAGGAGACAGGTGCTTCTCCTGGTCTCCCATGGGGTGTAGGGCCCAAGCACTTGGGCCATCCTCCACTGCCTTCCCGGGCCACAGCAGAGAGCTGGCCTGGAAGAGGGGCAACCGGGACAGAATCCGGCGCCCCGACCGGGACTAGAACCCGGTGTGCCGGCGCCGCTAGGTGGAGGATTAGCCTATTGAGCCACGGCGCCGGCCCTAAAAAAGATTTTACTATTTATTTAAGAGGTAGAGTTACAAACAGTGAGAGGGAGAGACAGAGAGAGGTCTTCCATCATCTGGTTCACTCCCCAGATGGTCGCAACGGCTGGAGCTGCGCCAATCCAAAGCCAAGAGCCAGGACCTTCTTCCAGGTCTCCCATGCAGGTGCAGGAGCCCAAGCACTTGGGCCATCTTCTACTGCTTTCCCAGGCCACGCAAGAGAGCTGGATTGGAAGAGGAGTAGCCGGGACTCGAACTGGTGCCCATATGGGATGCTGGTGCTGTAGGTGAAGGATTAACGTACTGCAACACAGCGCCAACCCCTAAATAAAGAACTCTTTAAAATGGGGGGAGGGGAATCACTGGTCCATAGCAATTCTGAAATCCAGCTAGGAACATGTTGAAAGTTTCTATGAGGATACAGTCCTGTTTCTGAGGAGGAATGAGCCTCCTCCTTTTTTTTTCTTTAACATATAATTTACATACTATAAAATCCACATTTTAAATTTATTTTTTAAGATTTATTTATTTATTTGAAAGTCAGAGTTACACAGAGAGAAGGAGAGGCAGAGAGAGAGAGAGAGTGGTCTTCCATTCACTGGTTCACTCCCCAATTAGCCACAACAGCCAGAGTTGCACCGATCCAAAGCCAGGAGTCAGAAGCCAGGATTCAGGAGCTTCCTCTGGGTCTTCCCATGTGAGTACAGGGGCCTAACGACTTGGGCAATCTTTCACTGCTTTCCCAAGCCACAGCAGAGAACTATATCGGAAGTGGAGCAGCTGGGTCTCGAACCGGTGCACATATGGGATGCCTGCACTGCAGACTGCGGCTTTACCTGCTATGCCACAGCGCCGGCCCAAAAACCCACATTTTAAAGTACATAACTCAGTGGTTTTAGAATATTCATATTTAGAAATCATCACCTCTACTCAATTCTAGAACATTTTCATGACCCCTCTCAAAAACCAGTACCTGTACCTGTTAGCAGCCACCCTTCATCCTCCCTTCCCTGGTCACTGTCAACTACTAATCTACTTCCTGCTCTATGGATTTGCCTATACTGGGCATGTCACACAAAAAATGGAATCATACAATTTGTAGCCCTTTGTGTCTGGCTTCTTTCTTGGAGCATAATGTTTCCAAGATACACGCAAGTTAAGTTAAGTTAAGCATAACTATTTAACTACTATTTAACTATTTAACTACTGAATTATAGTCCACTGGCTGTATAAACCACATTTTGTTTATCCACTGTAAATTTATGGACATCTGGGTTGTTTCCACTTTTAGGCTATTTTGATTAATGCTCTCATAAACACCCATATATAAGTTTGCATACACATGCAAGTATTTTTTCCGTTCTCTATAATAATCTAGAGTGGAATTTCTTTTTTAAAAAAGATTTATTTATTTGAAAGAGTTACAGAGAGAGGAGAGGCAGAGAGAGAGAGAGAGAGAGGTCTTCCATCTGATGGTTCACTCCCCAGTTGACCGCAACTGCCAGAGCTGTACCGATCCGAAGCCAGGAGCCAGGAGATTCTTCCGGGTCTCCCACATGGGTGCAGGGGCCCAAGGACTTGGGACATCCTCCACTGCTTTCCCAGGCCAAAGCAGAGAGCTGGATCGGAAGTGGAGCAGCAGTGTCTCGAACATCATATGTGATGGCGGCGCTTCAGGCCAGGGCATTAACCCACTGCATCACAGCGCCAGCCCCTGCCAAGCTATTTTTCAAAGCCAGTGGCTGTGGAACAGCAGTTGTTTTCTTTATTTCCTTGGGAAGATTGGAGTTAGGAACATGATATGGTTTCAGCTCATTCGCCTTGTCACTGATTGGCTGGCTAGCCAGTTGGCTAGGCACAGCCCCATGCCA